TAGTGCAGCTGAAAGCCAGAAGCACATGAGATTATATATTTACCGGTGCTGTGTCAGATAACATCTGAAAAGAGAAAAGAGCAGAGGAAAAAGGGATTCAGCCCTGCAGTCTTTATTAGCATGTTTGGGCTGTTTAAAGGAGATATCCAATTGTGCTGTTGCTGCCAGGCCTCTAAAACTGTATATATCCATGGTAAAGGAATCTACAGAAGCCTCCAAGCTCAACCCGACTCTATTGTGACATGCAAACTTATTGCCTTCAAATAAGAATTAGAAAGAAAGAAACAAATAGGGATGCACCATTACCCATAGCATTATATTGCTCAAGAACAGATGTTAATCAATTTTATGGAATGCTTTAAGTAATATGCAAGCACTTTTGCACAGAACTGACTGCATAATAGAGATTTCAGCCCAGCAAATACATGAGATAAGCCTTTATCTTGACGGGGAGAGTTATGTCTATTTTGATTAAAACCAAAGAGGTCTGTGCACTCAGGTTTTATTCCCTTGGAATTACGTTATTTCCAGGGCGCTATTGCACATGGGTACAATGACAAAAGGAAATGAAAATAACCTTGCTCTCATTGTACTACCCTCCTTGTGCATGTATCTATGCACACAGCCCATGAAGTACACGTGTGAATGCATGTACAACCCTTGCCAAGTCCTGGACTAACAGCAACAGCCATCCAATTCTCTCAGATTCCAGCTGTGCTTGAAGAGCTGTCACTTTGGAGAAAGGACTGACCTTATACTAGGTGAGTAAATTCTGCTACACAATCTCCCCATGCAGTGCTATCAGAACTTTCAAATCTCACTTCATACAGAAGTGCAAGGAAAAAGATGCCCCATCCTCTTGATTTGTACAAAAGTAACCTCTGTGCCAGGAGTAATTTTGATCATTAAACTTCTTGGTCCTTGAATGTCATCAGGAGTTATTTAGGTGACCATCCATTTGCACTTACAAAGTACTGCATTTAACTCTCCATAAAATATGGATTTTATTGCAGCAGTGACAAGACTTTTCTCCCTGGCCACTGACCTCTACCACTATTGCTTATCTCTTGACTCAATCTTCTGCATAAGAATACATATATAGTCTATGTCCCGTGTATGGGTTTGCATGCATGTGCATGTAGGTGTTCTATACATGTGAATATATAAATAGTTCAATCTATCTGACATACAAAGTATGCTACCAGCTCCTTAGAAACATTAACAACAACCAAATTCAACACTTTTTTTTTTTTCCTGCAATTATCCAACTTTTCTTCTGCAAAATGCCTGCACGCCTACCCCCTTTTTTCCCCCACCTCCACCACTCCCCAACCTCTTCCTTCCCCAGATGAAGCCTTTCACATTTGCCAATCCCTGCAGCAACCCCAGGTCCCCCCCCTCTTTGCCCCTTCTTTGCACCGGGAGAGCGCTTGTCTCAGCACTGCTCCACATCCAGCTCTGCACTTTGCCTTTTGCTTGTGATCTGAAGGGCTTTGCCCTGTATCCATTTCACTGAGACTAGGTAGCGCCAAGAAGCCAACACAGTTTTTTTTTTTTTAACAAATGAAAAAGAAAAAAAAAAAAGAAAAAGAAAACAACCTTGGCTCTTATCATGCTTCTCCTTTTCCATCATTATTATTCCTTTTTCATATTATTATTAATACTTTTCTAACCACACGCGACCCGTCCACCCGCCTTCACTCGTCCCTCGCCCCCAGCGCTTTGCTGCCCATCACAGCCCTCAGCATAGCGCCGCATCCTTTCCCCGACTCAGCGCACGCGAGCGCGGCTCCCGCAGCCCCCGGGGGACGAAACCCGGCGCAGCCGCGGAGCCCCCGCCAGACAGCCGCCAACTTTGCGAAAGAAGTGATGGACACCCCTCCCCCCCTACCCAGTAGCATTCCCAATGAGCGCAGTAAAAATAATAATACATTAATCACAAGAAAAAAAAAAAAAGAAGAAGAAGAAAGGGAAGGCGACCGCCTGGTGACGGCCGAAGCTCGGTGCGCGGGGTGCGCAGCCCGGCTCTTACCGGCTCGTAGGGCCGAGCTGGGATGGGTGGCGGCGGCTCCCGGCCCCTGCTGCCCGCTCTCAGCCTCCCCGCCGCTCACTGGGGCTGCCGCTCGACCGGCAGCACTTTTTAACTCCCGCATGCAGGCAGCCCGAGCCGAGGGGGCTCTCTATCTGATTGGTTTCCATTCAGAGCTCCTGATTAATAAAAAAAAAAAAAAAAAAAGAGAGAGAGAGAGAAAGAGGGAGAAGGAGGGGGAGGGAAAAAAAAAAAAAAAAAAAAGCCAAACTCCTCCCTCGCTGCCTGCCTCCCCGGTAGGCGCACACTCGCACACACTCACACCCAGCCGCGCACACGCACTCCGGGCGATGCGGCTGCGGAGCCGCCGGATCTGCCGCACCGGAGCCGGGAGGTGCGCAGCGGGCTGGCAGCGGTGTGCGAGCGATGAGGCGGTCGGGGCTGTGCCGCCGACTCCCCCGTCCACCCGAGGGCTGCTCCGTGCGTGAGGTGGTGGCTTCGTAGTGAGAGTGAAAAGCAGAATGGAATGGGGGCGGGGGGTGTGGGGGGGGAGCGAGTAAGAAGGAGAGAGAGGCGCACCGCTCTCCGCTTGTTCGCGTCGTGCGGTTTCTCATCCCGGGAGCCGCTCGTAAGTCCTTCTGCTGGCAGCGGAGATGCTCGCCTGCTCTTTTCCCACTCTTGCTGGGAACTTCCCGGACTTGATGAATCAAGGATGGCAGTGAATTATTAATGGAGACGCACCTCGCGGAGGTGATCGCACGTGGCGGTCTCTATGTGAATGGGAAGTACTGGGGGAGGGCTGTCCGGTGCCTCCTTCGCTCGGGGTCCCCATCCCGAGCTGCGCGCGTTCTTGCAGAAAGCGGAGATCTCGGCTCCTCCGAGGGACTGTGCAGCCCCTCTGCGCACACGCACGCTGCGCCCTCAGCCCTCGGCAAGGCTTTAGGTGTTTTAATCTGAAGATAAAATGACAAAGAGGAAATCGCCTACCAGTTTAGTATTTACCTGAGAAGAGTCCGCTGCAGCTGAGCTGCACAGCGTCCCCTTAAGAATCGTGGCCAATCTTGCAGGAAGCGCAGCTTTCTGCTATTTTCCCCTCACCATTTCTCCACAGCCTTAGGTTTGACCTTTATGATGTGCCTTTTTCCCTAGCTAGTTAATCGTAAGCCTTCATTTCCCCCTCTTCTTTTTCCCACCCCCTTACCCAGCTCTCAGAATTGCTGCTTGCTGAATGTCTTAAGGATGGCTCAGTGCTGGCTCTCAGCCACCTTTGTGTCCTCCCCTTCCTGGACCATCTCAAGGCTTTCAGTGTAATTTAAATACTCCAAGCACCAGAAGTTCAGGTAACTGTCTTGCTGCTTGCACTGTAATTCCTGCGGTGCTGCAGCACCATCTCCACAGCACAGCTGTTATCCCTTACACTGAGTCCAGGCTCCTTAAGGCAACCTCCAAGCTATTCCCTACAGTTGCTCTGTTGACAGAGTCCTTCCTCAGCACAAAATCAGACTAGTTGGGGCTCTGCATGAAGCCTACAAAAACCAGAGCTGTGTTAAGAGATGGGATTCTGCCTTCTGTATTCTTAGGGACTCAAGCCACTTAGGTAGCCCTGCACTTCTCCAGATGTTTTGGTCTTTCCACACAGCTGGTTTACACAGATCATTCTGATTGCTCTTCTTTGAACTTCCTCTAGTTCCCTCATTATGATTTTTTTAGCATTGACGGCTCAGGAGCTCGGTGAGCATTTGCAGGGTATTCCCAGGAGTCCCTTCTGGACACAGTCCGTCTCTCCCTCATGACAGACCACATTTGCAGGCTCAATTTTTCCCTGCCATATTGCATTGTCAACATTTGATTCACTGTCCACTCTGACTCTGAGGTCTCCTTGGGCATTATTCATTCCTGGATGTGTCTCATTATAGTTAGCCTTAATAAGGCTGCTTTAGGCTTTTATTTTCTTTTTGTTCTTTCTCTCAGAATAGGGCTATTTATATCCTATTTGGACTTCTGTATTTTTTTCAAGAAGGAAAGATTAATACAGGGTCTGTTGTATTCTCCAAAGTGTGTGCAGGTTTTGTTATTGTTATTGTTGTTTTTTTAAATACATCTTCTCATTAATTATATGAATTTGTGGGTGACCGTTTTAAATCTATAGCTGCATGAAGACTTGTTTTCATTTTTAGGAGACATTGTCAAGGTGATGCCCTCCCTCTTCGACCCTCCTCTGTTGACAGCTGTAATGATATTAGAATTCCCAGACCAGATCAGGCCATTAGCCCATGAAGTGTCCAGTAGCTGACACATTAGCTGAGAGCAATGCTCAACTTAGCTTATGAAAATGGATCAAAATCAGCAGTGGCTGAAATGTACTGTCCTGTCATGAGGTAGAGCATTTAAGAAGATTGAAAGGAGGACTGGATGTTTATGAGTATAACAAAGAGCACTTATAGTTGTTATACTTAATACATATGGATAAAACTGGAAACTAGATAAAACCTTTTTTTTTCCCATCTCCTGAATCAATCTAATAATTGAAAATCAGAGTCCATACTCAATGTAAAACATGCAATTTCAAACCTGTCTTGTTTATGGCTGTTTGTAAAGCAACTATTCTTGCCCATGGATAGACACAACTTTGAGTTAGCCTGAATGAAGATCCAAAGTGGCAACTTCTGCCTTTACAATCTCTGTGAAATGACCAAACACTACAGTCTGAGGCCAAAATGTCCATGAATCTCAGCCATCAACACAAAAAATCAAAATGCAGCATGATCTAGGAGCGTGTGATGTTTTTGTCTAGCTATTCCACAAAAATCATGTTTCCAGAAAGAGGAAGATTTCTTTGTAGGCTTTAAGGACTAAGAAGAAACTTCCTGAAGCTGATGAAAAGCCACCTACAGTTCATGAGCAACTGCAGTATCTATGAAACAATCTGAATGTCTCACTTTGTCAATTCTCGCATGAATCAGACACTTCAGAATTTTCACAGGCCTTTTTATTTTCAAAAAATGTGTAGGGATCTTTTTTGACTTTGCAAAGGAGAAACCTCAGTATAGCAGAACTTCTCACTCTTTTCAGGTGTTTGATTGTTGTTTCTAGGAGAAAAAAAATAATCCCCTCCAAAGTAGAGGTACAATATCATTTCACTGCAAGAGAAGGGGAGGAAATTGTGTTAATTTGGTAAGCAATCAGATTAGAAATTTTGAGGTAGAATAAACTATTAAGTTAGTAAGTATCACGTCATTACTGGTGCGATACATGGTCATCATGAAAATCTTTGAAAATCTACATTTTAACACTTCTGACCTTCTGTGGTGATGAGTTCCACAGGTCCATATGGTGCATAGCTGTGTTCTTTTCTGTTTGTTCATTTTACATTTACAACTTTCTAATTTCAGAGTCTTATATTAAGGATCAAGAAGATAATGAGCTCCTGTATAGCCTAAACCATATTTTTTTTTTCACTTATTCATAGTACTAGACTTTTTCCTACCCAAGGTTGAATGCTGCATATTCTCTAAGTCTCTAAATCCAGTTCTGTAGATCTGTGTGCAACAATCAAAGATTAGACACTTGTAAGAAGCCAAGATAAGATGTTGTCATTTACTATTCCTCAATCTAAACATGCTTCTCACAGCACTGAACCTGACCATGTCTGTGTTTCTATTCCTAATCCACTGCAAATACAAAGGAAAGAGATGAAATTCAGCCTCTTTCAGATCCTCTCCTGTTCATACCTGTGGTCTGCTGGACCACTGGCAAAGTGATGATGGTTTGCAGGCTGTATCCCAGTGATGGCTCACAACTCCCTGTTGCGTATTTGCTTTCCTTGTCTGAATAGTTTTATTCTTAGTTGACATCCTTCTTGCAATCAAGCTCACAAAACAGAAGAAAGAGGCTATTCCAGCAACTTTAAATTCTTCAGTCTAATTTGAGTTTGTAATATTTTTTACCTCCTTCAAGAACTATTGAAGTAGATGATTACTTGATTTGTGGCTTGTGAGGAAGTAATCCTTTCCATGCCATTGATATTTTATGGTGAAAGGGTTTCAAATTGGAAGGCATAAAAGAACAAAGAAGCCACATTTTCATCAACTCTTGCTATTTTCATGTAAGTATTATGAAATCTGCCTGCTTCCTCATAGCTTGCTGTCTGAACCTTTCAGCTGCTTACCAAATAATGCACTCAAAACTCCAAGTTCTTTTGGTTCCCAAAGTGTCATGGCCTCTTGAGCACCTTTTCTCATTTCACTAGTGAAAGTCAGGAAATAACAGTAATTAGGAAATTATAACATTTTTGGTTTTTCCTTGAAAAGAGTTAGTTCTTTGGTTTCTTCTCTTAATAATTTCTTGTTGAAGATGGATGATTTCTTCTCTTAATGAAATGTCTTGTTGAAGTTTTAATTTTAGATGAAAACCATGTTCTGGAAATTCAATTTTCTACCATGCTAGCTATTTCTTTGCTACCCTGTGCACCTCTGAACTGTTCAAACTAGCACCTTATATTCTTGAAGAGATGGCAATTTCTTCCAAACAAAATAATCCTGGCCACCATGGACCTCCCTTAGTGTTTTCTCTGACATCTAGTCTATTACTCTTTTGTCTATGGATGGTAAAAACAAATTCTGTGAAACTCATACTGAAATAGATATTTGCAAAGCTGTCACACACCTCTGAATTTCTTACCTCTCCTAATTCCAGTGGTACTGAAATATCACAAGAACAGCTGTTGTTATGTTTCTTACAGAGTTGGTAGTTACAGAATTGTGTTGTGAATAATCTAAAGAATGGAAGATATATTTCATATATATATAATTTATGTATGTTCAGCTGCACCAGACCTTTGATCTTCGGGTCTCAGCCTTCACTCATTGCAAAAACTACAAGGGGACTGTCCCCTGTTAAGCATGACAGTAAGAAGTCATTCACCTCTGCTTTACCAAGCTGACTGATCATTCCTGACAGAAGCATAAAAACGTGAGCACAGACAAACAAGATGTGTAAATAGCAGCTAATGCCTTGGGAGTTTCATTGCCTCAACAGGTTATAACTTCTGTAATTATCACTCCCACAAGCAGTTAGTATTTCTGCTTGCCATAGAAAGGACAGAAACATCTTCTATTAGAAACATGATGGCAATAAACACATCACAACCACTATGGTCATTGAAACCAAAATCTCTCATGATTAGGGTAAGTGAGGAACCCACACAGTTCTGCATGCGTGGGCTAGAGGTGAATGGAAAATCAAGAGTACATTTCTTCAGCTGAGCAGTTTTTACACAGAGGGATCAGTTCGCGAACAAATTTCACTGTAGGTCATTTGGGCACACTCTGGATGTTGATGTCTTCCCTGTAACTGATGAAAAATGTTGTCAGTGGTCCTCTGATGTTGCTGCTGTAGGAGGTGTTAATCATAGGCACTAGTCAGAATTTGTTGTTACTTCATTCCACATGTGATGACACTGCAGTAAAATTAGAAGCCAGTGTTGTTTTGCCAGCTCTGTCAAAATTTTGGGTGCTTTGGGAGTATTTTACAAAATGCACATAAGTATTTATAAATAAATGCTTCGTTTTCTGAAGGAAAAAAAAATAACAGAACTCAACCTTCCCTTTAATCTGTCTCACAGATCTTTTCTGCAGGGCAGCATTTGCTATCAATGCGCTCTACTTGGGCTATGAATACTATTATTTGTGTGAAGCTCACATTCTTGGCAGTTCCTTGTCTGTTTATATCCATCAATTCACTCCTCTTGTAGGGGTCAAACCTTCTGTGTAAGTTACCACGATTTAACCAGTTTCTTGTTGCTTCCAGAGCTGCAGTAATGTTTTGTGAACTCTCAGATGGCAGAGAACACCAAGTAACGTGATTTTGTCATTCCTGTTTGCTCTGGACTAAGCTAAAAAGAATTATCTTCCATTTGCTCCTGACTAAGTGTGCCTGTATGACCAGAAACTATGCTTCAGCTGATGCAGGCTAGTTGCTGAGCAATAATAACTTGCATGTGAGACTGACATGAACATACTTTATATTTTAATAACCTCTGGAGAATTCACTGTCTTTGCAATCTGTTCTTGCACAGCACCTAGCATAATGGGATAAAAAGCGCTAAAAATGTGTTGCAAATAATTAATACATCAAAATCCTGGTGCATTCACTCACAGACTTTCTGGCCCAAAGGAACTGTCACCTAAATAGAGCTGAAAGGCAAATGCTGAAAAGGAAAATGAAGAGGTGAAGTGAGTTAAGCTTCACGCAGCAGGTCAATTTAGATCTGGGGATGAAATCCAAACTTCATTCTTGTTCCACTCTAGCACACACCAGTGTCTTATCCTCTTATTCACAGTGCCCTGCCACATCTGGTTCCAACCAAAGGTTTCAGTGCAGGCATATCTTTCTCACTTTTCAGAAGAATAATGCTGAGAACCACAGGTCACTCCTTCTCCCTAGCACATCAATTCCTCTTTCTCAGGAGTATGACTAATTCCAAATCTTCATCTCTTCTGATAATACTGTTGATTCATATATGTTTGTACGAACTTAATTAATCCACACAAGCCATACCAGATCAGTTTGGAGTAGTTTTCTAAAAAGTGGTGCTTTTCATTCCCCCATTGCCTCTAATTTTTGATTTATATAGCCTTATGTGATTGCAGTGATTTTAGAGGTTACACCAAGTGTGAATTCTGCTCTACACACTGTAGGCTAAAGTTTTACATCTGCATTACATTTTTTCTTCACAAAATAATTTATGTCATTTTTCTCTCTTCTATCTGGGGTCTAATTACTCCTACCTCTACCCCTCCAATTCATGTATCTCCAGACTTCAGTCACCAGAACCACCCATGAGAAGTACTGTATTATCAGTCACTGAGACTGAAGTCACTGGAAACCTAACTTTGGCTATGGTCATTTTTTATTTAGATCGTTTGAGCACTGTGAGTTCCACTGAGTACAGTGGAAAATCTGAGGAAATCATGAACAATGGCATGTATATACCTGCACATATGCATGCTCGTATACATTTATATATATATATATATATACATGTGTATGTGTGGGTGAGAAGAGGTTGGGGAACCTCTTAAATGATTATGTCACTGTAAAAAACATAACATCAAATAACACATTAAATGATACATTCACTTTTTTTTTTTTGAAAAATCGTGTAGCAGCATAATAATGAAAATGATGAAAAGACTGCAGGACATTTGTGAAAGATATTTCTCTAGAATAGCTAGCAATATACGGAAGTTACAAAATAAGCCAGAGTTCTGTAGTAGCACTTACTTAAGTTAATCAGCAGATATACTGCTCCCTTTCCTACTTGCCAAGTGATACTGCCATCCCAGAGAAAACCAACATCTTTACACTGCAGTTTCCTGGGTCTTGTGCATGACACTTTATATAAGTGATGTAACTTGGTGTTCCCAATCTTTGGCTGAAGGCAAGGAGCTAACAGAACTCTTGAAAGGTATGTGGGCTATCTTGCTATTCTCCACAAAACATATTTCTTCTGCTTCTTTCTTTTTTGAAATTCTTCTTATCTTCATCCCCACAAGAGCGTTCATCTGAAGAGTGGAAATTGCAGCTCCTTGTGCCTGGCTCACAGCTAAGTGGACTAGACATTGGAGACCTCTTTGTGATCCCAATTTTTGGAGTCCAGTGACCAGAATACTGTACTAAATTTCTTGTCTCTACCTCCTCAAAGTGTAAAAGTTGCTTCTGTAAAAGGGAGATGCTAATCTGAGTCTCAATCTTAAGAAGACAGGAGTATTTTGAATTTAAGTGGATGTTTGCATTTCAGATGAAGGTGAGATTGCAGCAGAAAGGCTAGGAATGCCTGTGCAGTGTTTTTAAATAAATATGCTTTTCCTTGGAAATAGCAGCCTTTCAAAAATTTCCAGCTTACTTGGTCCCTTGCTTGTTGCCTGCACCCCATCCTCTTAACCCTTCAGTGCTGCACACACAGTTGCCCACTTATCCTGGGTCTTCTTTCCCCCAAGCCCTGTTCCTTTCAGGGAACTTGTAAGAACCAGGAGCGAAACTCTTGGCAGGATATTTTATGATTCCTTTCATTCAGATTCGCACAACTACACCTATGGGCAACATTTGGAGTACAGCTCCTAAGGACATAGGCAGCTCACTGCCAGTTGCCATGAAGTCAGACAAAAATTTTGAGACTGCATAATACAGCTGGCTTTCTAGCTTGGTATTAGTATAATTTGGGGTCTTTTCTCCTTAGAAGGAGAGAAACATTTGCTCTGCAGTGAAGGATTTGCAGTTGGAAGGGGAAGCAGCAACCTTTTATTCTGCATTTAATGAGAATAGCCCCCACTAGAAAAGAGCATATTGTCAGGACCTTTTTTATTTGCTTTCTCAATTAGTAGCAAACTGTGATAGTAATTCACAGGAGAGTTAACACTCTGCTCTCTGCATTTCACTGTCTCTTCTCCCTGTAGCTATTTTAGGAATTCCAATGCTGCATGATATACCTAGTTACTGTTAATAGGTACTGTACCAGAAGGGGAGAGCTAAAGATTCTCGAGCTGATCTTCTTCCTAATCTCTTATTCAGTGGACCTTCTAGCAGCGTGGGAAACATTTTAGCAGGAATTAGAGCGATGCGAGTGGGTTTTTGTAAGAACAGGACACATATAGTTGAGTGAAAATAAGTAGACTAACAAGCACCTATGGTAAAGCAGAGTAAGGCAGCAGCTGCTATTGGATTCCTGGCAAGGATGAGTTGTTCACACTCAGGGGATGATAAGTTTATCTGTGACTAAAATGTTGGTTTATTGACTGGGGTTGTAGCTCTGCAAGTTAATTAGAAACAGGCTGAACTTTGGGCACTTGAGTAGTCCCCCAAGGCTGGGATGACTGTTTGCATCTTTGAATTGGATGTTGAGTTGCTTTGCAGTAAGCCCCCTGTGAACTGTGGAGGGTTAAAAAATCCTGTTTACATGTTCTCCTTGAATCGGGTGAAGAAATATTTCCTGAACCCACAGGCTTTTTTTCACACTTGAAATACTGTATAGCCCATTTGAATATTTTTGTAGTGCTTAACATTAGCATCTCTCACACAGTTTACATTACTTTGACTTATGGAGGTCCCACTGTGGAGGATTTGGAAAAACTGAAGTTCTGTATTAGTAAGCCCGTGACAGAAAAAGAGGCAATTATCTTTTACTTTAAAAGCTCCAAAGTGTAATTCTTGCAATTAATTCCTACAAGGTTCAGAGAGTCTAGGCTGGATTTGGTTTGCTGTAGGTATTTATATTCTCCTTGGAGCAGCTATATATTTATATATAAGAATACTGATTTCAATAACAGTCTTCTACTTAAACTTGCAGGTCGCTAAACTAGATAGAGCCTATGGGGCCTCTGATGTACATTAATGAACTGTTGCTAAAGGTCTAGCGGAATATGTGATGCTATGGTTTAAAATATGTTTCTTGGCATGTCTTTGACTCATAAGAATAAAAAAATAAAAAGGAAGAAAAAGCTTATGAAGCTTTTTGCTTTCTAGAATTAATTCCCTTTTTCTGTTTTCTCCCAAATGACTAGTATGTATTAGCTGAACTACACGATAAGGAAAATATCCAACAACTATTCGGAGATATTAAAATAACCTAGTACAGCACACTCTCGATAGAAACTTCATCCACAGGAACTTCTGGGATGGGGCATTAAGAGAGAGCTATAATTTATAATTGGCTACTGTTCATACGAGAAAAAAAAAAAAAAAGAAATTCTGAGTTTAGAAGGAACTTCAAAATGTAAACCTGTCAGAGCCTCTGCATTGTGTTTGCTTTGGTTAGTACATTAACATTTCTAGCAAAGCTTATGCTATTTTGAGTGATGGAGGTCCTACTGTGTAGGACTGAGGAAAAAAAAATAAAGTTCTGTATTAGAGAGCATGTGACTAGAGAAAAAGGCAATTATCTCTTTCTTTAAGAGCTACAAAGTACAGTGGTGTTGGCTTCTGACAAGAGTAAACTAGATGTGCACAGCTTAAAGGCAAACTGAGGATGTGCAGATGAAAAGTTCAGCCCTCTCTTCCTTCCCCCCTCCTTTCCTTACTCACCCTTATGATCTCTTTGCTACAGTTTGAGAGAAAATCTGGGACACTTGTTTCTTTTATTTCTTCCAGATTGTTATTTTATGTATTTTTGGTAGAGCAGTAATGATATCCAGTGGCTGCTTAGATGAATCACTGATATATATTCCTTAGGGATATTCCAGAAAAATGCATCCCGGCCAGGACTTATTTCCAAAGTCACAGCATGAATCTGAAACCTATACAGTCTGCCAGCTGTAATCAGCTCCTGTCACTGGTCAGGTTTCCATTATTTCTTTCTTGATGCGCTTCTTCAACCTTTCTATTTTCTCCACCTCTAGCAGCAATTAAAGACTGCAGTGACATTCTTATGTGTATTAGGAAGAGAGAACACACGCAGGAGCCTTCTCTTACCTTTGCATTTTATCTCCAGAATGTTACTGCTTTTTTCTGCCTTTGCACTCACTAGTTTATGCTTCTTTGCTTCAGGATTTAGGAAATTCTTCTTTTCTCGGGAGCTTCACAAGAGGAAAACTGATGATGCATTTCTCTTCTTTGAAACCTGTGAGAAATAGAGGAATAATCAATAGAAAAAGAGAAGTTCAGGAATATTATAGTGAGGAGACAGGTGAGCTCTCTTCAGAGATCCAAAACCTTGAAATGAAAAAATGACATGTACAAAGACTTTACATCAATTAAAGAGGTGAATGCTGCTGCTGTGTTCAGTAGTTGCTTCTCAAAGTGCAAAGGAATCTCTCTAAAGTGCAGGCTGTGTCATGAACTGAGCTAAGAGCTAAAAGGGGCTGCCCTGATGCTTCTGAGACACCCGGCTGAATTTGGCCTCTGTTGGTAGCCACCAGCACTGTCTTGCAACTGGGAATGAGCCCTAGCAGATGCCATGCCAGGCACGTCACAAAATCTTCCTGCAAAGTCTCTGAGCTGCAGCATTCCCTTTTATGGGAAAGTTGCTCTCCTGGCGCAGCTTTTAGGGTGGCAGTGAACATCAGCTCTCCCTCCCCAAGAAACCTTTTCCTGTTGACATCTACCAGTTGCAACAGCTGCCTATTAGAAGCAGCCAGTTGCCACTTTCACTCTGTGGGCAAATTGCTAAAGAAAAGCAGCATTAGAGCCAGCCAAAAATCCTTTCTCCAACTTGCATGACAATTTACCCATTACTGTAGAAATACCAAGAGCTCCTACAGATGAGCTTATGTGATATGGAGCGCGTGCTGCCAGCTTTCTCCGCGCGTCCTGCGGGCAGAACAGGGCACTCTACTGACCCACCACCGTGTCTCCAGCTCTCTGGCAACTCCTCCCTGTCGGAGTTGATAAATATGATGTATATTTGCAGCATCACTCCCAGAGGTATAAGCATCTTCTGAACAGCGCTCTGTCACACTGGCATTTCTTACTGCACAGTCTCCGTCTTAAAATAGGCTGAGCAGGATAAGAGATGTTTGTTTACGTTAAAACAAAAACTCTAGATGGAGCAAATTAATCTTGTGGTATTTAATTTGTGATTCATGCTCATCTGTGACTCTTCCCACTTTTTTTGCAATTAAAACAGCCTGTGACTGCACATAAACATTTAGCCTAGTTAGATTTGGGTGCCAAACTTCTCTTGCTTTTCAGTGTTATTTGGGCATTAAACTGTTCTTTCATCCTTTTAAAAGGAACCCCAGGATTCCATATTTTTTTCTTTGTGCCTGATTTTTGTGTTATGGGAATCCAGTAAATATTGTACAATTCTCCCACTGGTACTGCAATTACAACTCTGTGTGATCTTGGCACTCCATAGCAAGAAAGCCACACTCACAGACGTAGAATTTTTAACAGATCCTAGCTAACTAGCATATTTGCAGGGTACCTTGTCATGATCAAAAGCTGGTGTTATCATCTCTGTAGGAAAGCCCCATTGAGGTCACATTGCATTTCCCCTGCTGAGGATTTTCTCTCTCATATCTTCTGCTTGGGGCTACAAAGACTGGAAGCTGGGTGTTCAGTGTCCCAAAGAATTAGCCATAGCAGGCTAAAAAGTAGTTATTTCTGCTTATTCTAATAAATTTTTTTACCAGTTTTGTTCATCATCCTTTCAGCAAAGGAATTGTTTCTCCTATTTTTCGTATTAGATCTCAAATTAGTATCTTCCAGCAGTGACAGAAACTAGCTGGAATAATAAAGGCACTCATTTTCTGATGTACGTAGATCGTTTCAAAAGTAGTGCCTTCTATTTATTCCCGTGGAAACTACAGGAGATACAAAGAACACAATAACACTATTTGATAGAGCAAATTCTCAGCTACAAAAGAGTATTTTTTCAACACAGCCACCACCACTAGCTATACTCTTTTGCCAGCAAAGAAGAAGATCCTCATGCCACGCTCATAAAAATCTGCACCAGTGGAAATGATCCACTGTTTCACAGATGCTATTATGGTGTCAATGCTAGGAAAATGTTGCCCATGCAGTCCATCTTTCATCAGCGCAAACAGCTGGAAATAAGAAGGTGCCAAATCTGGACTATAGGGTGGATGTGGTAGGACAGTCCAGCCAAGATTGACAACATGCTCTATGGTCTTCAAACTGGCATGGGGCCTGGAGTTATACAAAGGGCGTAAGAAAGGATGTATGAGAAAGATTGTCTTCTCTGGCCTTACTCTGGAAGTTGGATCCTTCAGCTTAGTCAGCATTATGATGTTAGCAGTCAGAGTTGCTGGTTTATCCAGGTTCCAGGAAATCCAGAAGGATCACAACTTTCCTATCCCAAAAGACAGTGCACATCACTTTATGCACAGAGAGCTATGTCTTGACCTTTTTCTTCCATGGGGAAATTCACATGTTGCCACTCTATGAACTGCCATTTTGACTCTGGCTCGTAGTGATGACACCACTTCTCACCTCTGGTAATGTTGTGATCCAGGAAATTGTCACCTTCAGCCTCATACTGTTCAACAGTTCCTGACAAACTTCATATAATGTTCTCTCTGTTCCTGTGTGAGCATTCATGGGATCCACCTGGTGAAAACTTAGTGATATTTCAAGGTTGCCACAATTGTTTACAATACACTGAAGTTGATATTTAGATCCATACAGGGTACTCTGGTTGTAATCTGCCAATTCATGTGTGAGCTGATCAAGATACTCTTCATTTCATAGTGTGACAGCTCTGCATTTTGTCACAGATTTTATCGCAACACACTTCATATAATACACCTATGAATAACATTTAATAATTTTTTCTTAATGGAGCATGTAATACTATGATGCTTTTCTTTCTTTTGGATCTGATGGTAGTGAAGTGGTATCTCATGTTATATCTTCCTCAGTCTTTCTAGGCCTTTATACTGTTGATGAGCAGTAGGCAGAGGAGGTAAGATTTTTCTTTTCCTCTCTCATTGTCATTTGCAGTAACTGATGCAGTTGCAGCAGAAATAATACTATTTTTGTTTGTTCTCTCTTCTGAGACCACACAGAAGCTCTTCTGAAAGTTAACAGAAAGCTCAAAGTGAGTGTCTCACTTTGACAGAACTGGCCTCAGTTATCCTATTTCCTCCTTAATACTGAAAATCACTGCTTTGAATCATAAGCTCAGCATGGTGGCAGTCATCTTGAGCAGAGACACTCTTTATTTTGTTTATGTAAAGCTTTGAAGTCAGATCCTTATTGTCTTTTAATCAGAATAAACTCATCAACTTTCTACACTTCACCTTCAACACTGAGTTATCCACAGTGTTGGATCAAAGACGTGGTATGGAGAGGGCAAAAGCTGAAACAAAATGTGACGCTTCCTAATGGGGTGTTTGGTTGACTAGAAAGCTGAGAAATAGATAAAGACTTTTTTTTCCTGAGTTATTTGTCCCCTGGTACTGTGCAGGTTGTAGAAACACTGCTAGCCACCCATGCTCCTGATACATTGTTGTGATCAACTAGAAAGTGTTCTTGGGCTGCAAGACACACTTGTCTTATTGTCTTGTTAATCACAGTTTAAAAAATAATATTAATGACCACATTGTAGCAGATAAAAAATCATTTTCTCTCTATCCTTTTATATTACCTTACAGTGATCTTTTTTCAGAAATGTATGCTTTCTCTGGAGCAGACTCACTGGTAAGAAGCAAATCCATCTCACTATTTTTTATCTGCAAGTTCCTACTGATATTGTGTAGATACTCTCAAATCTGAAAAAACACACAAACCCAGCCCTCCATTCCCCTCCTATTTCTGACTTTATTCACAGTTTCCATTATGGTTTGAATGACTGCAACTTACACCAGCTGTCACCAATTCTGTTTTCAAAGAAAGCCAGGGCTCAGCCTTCTTATATACTCAGAGGGAACTGCCTTAGTATTTGCTTTTATTCATCTCCACCTATAAACTGAAGACAAGTTAAACTGTACCATCTTATTTTTCTAATATAGTATGCATGGGTGGAATTGTTTATCTCCTAAAAGGCCAACATATTTACTAGGTATTGCACTGAAAGTAATGCCTCCTATTTGTTTATGTGGAAATTGCGATAGTTACAAAGAGCACAATAACACTATTTGATTGAGAAAATTCTCAACTATAAAGCACTATTTTTCAACACAGTCACCACCACTAGCTATGCATTTTTGCCAGCAATGAACAAGAGTCTGCATACTGTGTTCAAAAAAATCTGCATGGCTATACGAAATATAACTTGTCTTTTATTTCGCTGTCACCACTGCTTGAAACTCACCATCCGGTCCCTCACTGTGTTCACATCCACTGTTTGGTAAACATGCAGAAAGCATAGAAAGCATCAGTGAATGAATGACTGTCAATGGGTGCCTTTTTTTTTTTTTTTTTTTTTTTTTTTTTTTTTTTTTTTTTGCATGGAGGAGTTCAATTACACCCCTTTTACTTCGTACACACGTATATGTCAGATGCCATTCTGTCAGACTGCCCCTCTGCTGCCATCTGTCACATGGCATGACATGTAACCAAGAATATTGGTAGGAAGGTTCAACTTCTTCTTCCATTCCACCAATGTCTGCCTCTGACAATGTGGGCCAACATAGTAAAATAAGAAACATTATTTTTGGAGCAGCTCTTGTATATAACAAGGCCTAAACTGTAGTTTTGCAAATTAGCCTTTTTCCAAAACACTGAGACCAAAAGACCTTCACCTAAAGGAACACTTCTGTCATGTGCTCAGAACAACTCTGTCTTCACTTCTGTTCCACAACTGTGAGTGTGATGCATACCAAGGGCAATTCAATGCTGTGACAATCTTTTAGTTACTGTCAAGGCTTTTCCACATCCATGGAGTAGGGACCAGTTCAGTCCATCAATAGTAGTAGCAGTGTAGGAAAGGAGGATGAAGTTGCCATTAAAATAGCAGACTTTGTTCTTGAGAATACATAACTTAACATACTTCTTCAGGGCAGTGGTGGTTGTACGGTTCCTTCCCTGCACCCGCTGCAGTAGGGAGGTCTGCTCCATGGTGAAGAGAGGAACAAGAAACGCTTCTTCCATGGCAGGAGCAGCACCTGCTTAAAGCACGCTATTTTGCAACTACCATTCTCTTTAAGCTGTCATCTATTCATGGGAAGAGTAGAAATGCTCCCCCTGCTCCCCTGTTCTGGGGACTCTGAGGAGCCAGGCCCTAACCTGCCAGTTGGATTGCAGCATGGAGTAAGTTGAACAAAGCAATATCTATTTATACAGCTCTGTCATTTCCAACCATAAATTTAAGTGGAGAGGTTAAGGATAGGAGACTGCTAAAAGAGGTGATTTGAACGTTATCAACTGAAATAAAAGGAAGTGTGTGCTAAGCAGGAATTTCAATTGCGAAAAAGAAAATTAATCTATCTGTTGAATTATTCACACAGGTAATATCACCATGATATCCCAGCACTTTACAGGTACCATGAATTTTCTCAGTTCACTGTAGCTTCATCACAAAAAGTTCACGCTCCGTTTTATGGTGGGAGAAGCATCAAGCTCACTAGAGGTGCACAACCATTCTGCCCCTGAACTATGTGAATTTTTCTATTTGTGGGAGCTGGCTGTTGCCCCAGTATTATTAGATGACAGCCCCATCTGTGTAGAGAATAGAGGAATTAAAAAAAAGAAAATAATCTGCCAGCATTTATAATGCTTCTCATTTCTCTTCATAACCATCACTGCAACAGTTCCTCAGATGCCCACAAGTATCAGCATCTGGGTGACAAAAGCTAGTTTGTGGAGTGTTTGCTTTGTGTTAGGTAACAGTTCTGCAGGAAACAGTTCTGCAGGAAGGCACTTACAAGACTAGAGGAAGCCCTTTGCAGGGAGAGCTGGAATTTTCTTCTTTCCTGTGAACAACTGAGACTATATGGGGAAAGGAGACTGCAGGATGGGCTGGGTGTAAAGGTCTGGGACATCCCTGAAGAGGACCAGGTGTGGCTGAAAAAAAAAGGGATGTTCTCTGAAGGACGGAGAGGGTGGTCTGCATCTTTGAGCTGGTGGACTGGAGGAAGCAAGCCTAGAGTGACAGTCCTCCTTTTAAGGCTGCAGCAAATGGGATGGAAATTTGATTACAGCCCCCTTTTATTTCTCTTCTACCTTGGTGATTGCACTTGACAAGTTCAAATTTATACCAAGTTTTTTGTATCTTAGAAAGTAGTTTGGCTTAGCTTATTCAAAACAAAGTTTTAAGTTCAGATTTTGATTTTTGGGAGAGTCAGTAGAGCACTCTCACATTTCTCACTGATATAAGTTCCCCCCTGTTTTTACAAACTTAGGTGTTTAAAAGAATTTTTTACATAAACTAAAGTAATGTGGATGAAAATAGCAGAAAAGGAAGAATTTCTAAGGAAATTGCATAGGTTTGTTACAAGTTTGTGAATACTGTTCTAAAGAAAACATCTACTTCCAGATAAATGCTTCTGTGCAAACTGCGATAGTTCTGTACACATCTGTCAGTTTGCAGTGATTCACAAACTGCAGGACTTCCAGCCAGGAAGCAATTTCATTTCTGTTTGTGTGCTTTTTTTCCCCACATTATTTGTTCAAGTACTTTGAATCAAGCAAATCCTAGGTGCCAAAATATTATGCATCAGAAATGAGGGAAGGTGAAAAGTGTTTGCACAGCACTTGGATTTTCACTGCTCCCAGGGGTTTCAAATGAAAAAATGACAAAAAGGAGCTGAAGAGAGATGGAAGAGGCACCAGTGGCAGAGGTGGAAAGGTGCAGCAGAGCCACTGGAGGTTAGAAGCCACTCCTGGTGGTTCTGTAGCACCCTGCAGCTATGCAGATTGTAAGTGCATGCAGGTGTGTTTAATACAGACTATTGCCACCTGAGTCAAACTGAGTATCTGGAACACAAAGCAGATGGAAAGCATACTGTGCTGAAGTGTATCCTGCTGTGTTTATCCAGCTTGTTGTGTAGGCTGGCCCATATATGAATATGTGTGCTATAGTTGTACATCTCAGTATTGACACAAACTTGAAGTCCAAAGGGAGTACAGAGACAAGAGCAAATGAAGGTATGTGGATTTATATTCAGACTTTATTTAGGATTTCTAAAAGACCACTGGCACAGTTGTATTGACCCCATCTGATATATTATCACAAAATGACTAGTTTTTGAATTGGAGTCAATTCTCTGTGAATGAGTAGCATATGCTGTCCTTAATGTTAATTTGACAAGTTTATTATCTCTGCTATTCCTATTAGTTGGGTAGAAAATAGGTTAAGTATCTTCACGCTATGCTGAAGTTACGTCTGAAGCTGAAATATTCGCCTATTGTTAGGGAAGAGTCTTAATAAGATCAATTCCTTAGAAAGCAGCAGTCAGCATAGGGTGCCAACAGAAGCCATTTGTTATCTGCAAAACCGAAAAACTTCACAAAATATCTTCTCAGATTTTATTATTATTTTTATTTTTTTGAATGGTTCAGAAGACCACCTTGCTAAGTAGTTACAAAAACACCATGATGCTGCCTTGGACCTGGGAATCAGAACTGCTGTTTTTCAGTTTGTGATTATAGTCAGGAGTTTGAGACTCCTGTAGTACTTTCCCTTTTGTCAGATATTTCTAGATGATGCTAATGAGTTCATGTTTATGGTGAGTACAAGGTCTTAGAGAGATGAATACCCACACAAACAGCAAAATCACTTTGCAAAACAGATTTGAAACAAAACCAGAGTACAATATAAAGAAGGTTGCTTGGGTTTGCGTTGCATAGTATTAGATTTGCCCAAACGTGATCTGTCTGGGCAACAGCTTCACTTTAATAGAATTTTATGTAATTTTGTGGAGATAAAGCTCTTTCATCTGTGGTTTGTATAATAAATGAGGCATGTATTTTAAATTTCCAGAAATTGTACAATCCTAGATGTACAAATGCACCTGACAGAATAGCTATTGGAAATCCCAACAAAGGTTTGTTCCTTTTCCAATTCAATCTGCAGGTGAGAACCCAAGCTGTTCAATGATTTGGACACTGAGCTTTGTAAGCCCAAGAACTGAGCCTATGCCAGATCCAAATAAGCAGTCTGCTGCTGTTGTGTAGTATGGCCAGCTTTAACTCCGCATTGCACTCTCCAAGCCCCGCAGCTGCTCATTTTAGTGGTATTAGTGCTGACTCTGCACCAGTGGGGCTGAAGCAGTCATGCCTTACACTTCCTCATAACGTGACAAGTGAGCATGCAGCCAGGAGGAGGAGGTGTAAAGCAGTTTAATCCACTCTTATCAGTAGTGGCCCCAAAGTGCATGCTATTAAGAAGTGATGGGAACTTCACAGCCAGATCTAAGGAAAGTTTCCAGACAAAAAAGATCTTGAGAGTGCTGTGAAATTGTACGTGTACCAATGAGTGGCCTGGGGTGGTCTGTGCAAAGCTGACATGTAATGAATCTGGCCTGATTTATGTGAATAATTTGAGGAATAACTTCTTGCAACTGAGGAGTAAGGCTCTGGCAAGAATGGTTATGTCATAATTTATCAATGAAATGGGCTTCTAACATTCAGAGTCAGCAGGATCTTTTCTTTAGAGTGAGTAACAGATATTGTTACCTCTTGCTGGGTCAGAGGTGAGATACTGCTCTTTTGGCCTCATTAAGCTTATCTGAGAACCTGTGGGTTATTTAGCTTTAGTTTAAATAAAACTCTAATGGAAATTCTTTGCTGCTTTGGAATTTAAAATTTTTGTCACAGTTAGGCCCATTTCTATGAAGCTCAGTCATCTTCCCAGGTGCTCTTTCTTGGTGTTTTTTTTAATACCAAAAAAAAAAAAAAAAAAAAAAAGGCATGAAGGAATTAAACAAATTTGACCATAGTTATTATTTGTTTGTTTTATGCCACATGCTAGGACTTATTCTGTTTGCTTCTCTTTGATCTATACACGTCTTAGGGCAAAATATGGCATAGTCTACTCATTTTATGCCATGTTTTTAAAACTGTTACCCCATTTGTACCTGAATTTTTAGTTTGTCGTTTTTTGATATGATCTTGGTTTAAATTTAAATGCTTCAAATAGAATGTCAATTTCTTCTTTTTACTTTTTCTGGAGAGTATACTATAATTCTGTCATACAAGCATTTTTCATATCTTAGGGTACTGTAGTTGCCATGGGTGCAAAGCTAGTTAGTTCAATAGCGTCCCACTCATCAGTGCTGAAAGACACCAAGGCCACGGCCATGAGAAGGTACTCAGCTTCCCTGCTAGCCTGGAAAAATCACCTTCCAAACACATGATCTTCAAACTGGTGTTCCTGAAGTCTAATCTTGAAATTTTCTTTGTTGCTGCATCATGTGCAGTTTTAGTTAACTACTGGGACATTTGAAGGTAATTTTAATTTGTTCTCAGAGACTTAAATAAGTTCTCCCAATAGAGAAGAATAGCTTTCTGCTAATAGAATTTGTAAGAGTACTTGTGTCTATCTGGCTCTTGCCAGGACTGACTGTGGCTTTATTTGGCTCATATGGTCCTATAAATGTTTGAACTGTTAATTTCTCTTCCACCAGGGAACCATTTGTTGCCATGGCTGCCATGATCCTAAGGACACTGATTGGTGCTGCAGTTTCAAAGACATGGAGTGTTCGGGGGTATTTCTTCTTACTTGAATCCAGGAAAAGAGCCAAAATGAGAATAATATCTAGTTATGAGTAATTTTCTAGTCTCGGTGATGGTGGGAAGAAGTATTTCCTTGTTTTCTGTAATTCTGATAATTAGGAGATGTGGGACTGTGCCAGTAAGCACTGTATAAAGCCTAACCACTGGCAGTCTTTGGAGACATGTTCAACAAGTGAAAGGTTAACAATGAATGAAAGGAAAACAAACCCACTACTATAGACAGCAGTCAGCTGTATATTGTGAGTTTTGAGTCACTGATCATGCAGGCCGTAGGATTTTCCAAATTGGCTTAAATAGTACTTGAATTTGCAATATATATACAAAAATAAATATCTCTTAAGACATCCCATCCTTACTGAAACATTTCCATTGATGGGCATTTTATCCTGTAACACTTCTAATACTCCAATGGTTAATTATCCTCACTATAAAAAATGTCTGCCTTACAGCTGGCTTGAATTTTGCCTAGTTTCAACTTTCAGACTTCATCTTTTCTTATTCTTTGTTTGCTAAGTTTAGATAATGAAGAGACATTTACAAAGAGTCCTCAGGTAGTGCTGCCCTACCTTTGATCAAATCGCACCTCAGACTTCTTGTCATTAGGCTAGGAAATGTCACCATAGGGCATGTGTTTCAGTGCATTTAATCATCCAAGCAGCTCTTCTCATAACCTTTGTAAATTTATTATCATCCCCCCCTGTAGTGTGGACATCAGAACAGGACAGTATTTTGTCTGTAGGATCACACCATGCAAAATACCCATATCCTATACCTTAATCTCAGTTGGAATTCTTCTGCTCATTTACCCAAGGGCTGCATGAATAATTGAATTCATTTAAGAGAAGCTTTTGTCAGAGTTGGATCTGGGAAACTCTTAATGTCTACCATGCAGCTTGCACAGAGTAGCTTGGCATTTCATGAGGTATTTTGCTGTGGATGGTGCTATGAATAGTTTGTATTTTCTTTTCAACACTCTTGAAACACTTCTGTACAGAAATGTGGGTTTCTTTGCTGGTTGTCCATGTGTTCTAACTCTACTAAGTGAGTCTTGAGCAGTTGTACTTCAAGTACCTTAGTTATTTTATGTCATTTGATTTGCAGAAGTTCATAGGTTCTTTACCTGTTTCTTCCTTAGTGCCGTTAATCTCAAGGTCTGTTTCAAGATATATCTCAAGCTGGAGATGTCTTTCCCTTTATACTCCTCTGTAATATCTGCAATCCTAACACTCTTAATTTGTCCTATAGCTTTATCCTACAAGGTCAGACATATCCTACATTCTTAATTTTTTTACCCTTTTTTGCCTTTGTCATATCATCTTTATCCTGAAGGTGAGATATTAATTCCTCTGTCTCAGTATTTTACATTTTAGATCCATGTTTGTGTGTTTTGGAATAAGAGATGCTCACAGGGAATGATGGCTGTTCTGAGTTAAGCTTTATCACCAGCCAGTATCATCCACTCTCAAATTTATTTGAGCTCCAAAACAAAATAGCACTACTTCTAAAGCAGCAGAGTTTTCTAGGGTTTTCTCCACCTGGAGTATTTCAGATCCTTTTATTTTTGTGAGAATGAACATAACAAAAGGTTTATTCTTTTCTTTTGGTGGTAAGCATGAGAGCTACAAGACATGTGGACATGGGTCTTTCTGCACCTACAGGGCTCTTCAGCATCATCTGGGTAGGGACTGTCAATTTCTTGATGAAGAAGAAAAATTATATACATCTGGCTGAGGGAGGTTTGATGAGGCAATTTCATTGCATTGGTAACTTAACTTTCTTCTTCTGCTTTCCATTATAAGTTTTAAAAAGTTTCTTTGAACTGTTGTGGTGCCCTTGGGGAGTATAAAATTGGTCTGGAAATCTCTATGCTTTTCTTTTCTTTATTTATTTATTTATTTTGGAGAGATTTCTAGTTCTTTCTCTTCCAGCTGAGCGTAACAGCAGCTTTTGTCTTCATATTTTGGCATCTTCACTTCTAGTCCCAGCTGGAAGTGGGAAATGCACTAGAAAATGAAATTGAACAATAACAAGGACAAAAAGGGGAAGAAATAATAAAATAAAGAGTCACAGAGGGTTCATATGTTGTGCTGTGTGTCTTTCTCCTGAGGTGGGTCTTGATCCTGCCAACTGTTCCCCTGTAAGAAAGTTTATGCCTGTGGGTACTCCTGCTGAGTTCAAAGTTACTCACATGAATAATTGATTGCAGGGTCTGGGACATAGTTTGCAATTCCTTTTTCAAGATAAGTTCATTATCATCAGATCTCATCTTGCTCTGAAGCAAGTTGCTGGTTTAGGGACAAGTAGGTCAAATGGATACTTGATTTTTTAAAAAAAAAATTTTATTTTTATTTTTATTGTTGCAGGAAGAGCAAGCAACTGGCAACCTCAGATGGTGATTTAATAATAATAATGAGGGGAAAAAAGAAAAAGGCACTGTCACTCTTTTGTTGGGGTAAGTTTTTATCAGAGTGGTGAGCTTTGAACATCTTGTTCAACAAGAGTTCGTGTCCCAGGGGGAGGAGAAGAGCTCAGGAAGAGCTTTACATTTTACAAATGTATAAATGGTATTATTCATGGCATAAAGCTTGGAGCTTCAGAGCTCTGCTGCTCTATCTTCTGCCATATAATTTTCCAGAAGTCATACATCTACAGATTTATATTGAAGGAAATTGGAGTAACATAAAGAAATTAAGTAATAGTTGAAGTCGATACTAGCTGCTTCAGCACAAAGGGTCTTATTTGGATATATTTTTAGCAGTTAGTGTACCAAATTGATGCAATAATACCAACTTGCTGAAGGGACAGAGAGGGGGAAGATAAAGTGGAGTTGTAGAGGATATAAGAAGGAAGAAAAGAACAAAGAGGATTTTTTATTTTTTTTCCAGTCAAATGCAAATGGAAATGACCCTAAAGATTCTAGGAACACAGGCTTTTTCCTAACAGTGAACATTTTCATGCAACAAAATCCATTTTTGAGACTCATTAGAAAATGCTGTGATCTTGATTATTTTCTGTAGCTGTGTCTGGTTATTTTAAATTGATTAGTATACCTCTGATGTGAGAGAGTAAATCATGAGCTATTGCAGGTGCTTCTGTAATTGGTTATCGTGTTTAATTACAAATGTTTGAGTACAACTAGTTTGTTCTGAGCATGATTTTTCCCCTGCTTTTCCATTGCTGCTTGATGCGTTAAAAAAAAAAAAAAAGACAAATTAAGCTTCCACAATGCTTTTGTTTTAAAAGAGCTGAAGATTTACAGAATGATGGATTAATTTAAGATGTACTATCAATAATGATTTAAAAACAAAAGAACTAGACTATCTGTCTATTGATCATCTATCCATCTCAGGGGTATCTGTCACTGTCATTACTACCACTCTGTTTTGGGGTCTAATTAAAGTTCCTTCCACACGGCAACTTCTATTTGCCATTTACAGGTTAAAGTCTTGGTTGCTGAAGACAAAAGTTCTGAATCTCTTCTCAGTTATGCTGACATGCAATCCAGAAGCTGGGAGATGTAGCAGCCTAGAATGCTTGTGAGAACTTCATAAAAAGAAAAATGGCTATGAGATTTGTGGCATGCCAGGGGAAAAAAAAAACTCATATCTTGAAGGGGAACAGGAGGCACTTTGAAGAATGCCTCTTGGTGTGGGCATGTTTGTTTAGCAAAACTGCAGCTGCCGGTGACAACATTCATATAACGAGAAACAAGAAAAGTGCCAGGACAACAGGGGATGCTTGTGATGACATAAAATCATTGCTTGTCGCAGGCTGGAGTGAGTTGCTTGATTAATAAGTGTATGTCCTCAGTTGGTTTCAATACCCCTGTTAACCAGACACAAAGCTCTATCTCCTTCTCTAGATGGGAGAATGCATCAGAGGACTAGTTGTGGGTTTTCATCTCTATCACCAAAACTGTGCAGTTTGTGGTGAACCTCACATTCTAAACAATGAGAAAATATTTATCACCCAGCTGTGTCAGGAGAATAAATATTGCTAATGAGGAGCCTGTGTACCAAATGTTGCTTCTAAAACTTGCTCAGTTCTGTTTTGCTCATTCGCAGCTTTAGGCATCATCACCTGTTCTGCTGAGCGGGGTAGTGCTGCTCTGTGAGAGCTTTTCATTTTCGTTTCCACAGCAGTGACTGGTAGGCTGAAAGGATCTCTGAAGAATGAATAAGATTTAAAGACATAGCATAAAATTAGCTAACTTCATCCAAAATACCTTGTAATACCTGCATCATCACAAACACTTCTATCTTCTTGGATGTCACTGGAAAAGGTTGCTCAGAGAGGTGGTGGGTGCCCCATCCCTGGAGACGTCCAGGGACATGCTGGATAGGGAGGGCTCTGAGCAACCTCGTCTCACTGGAGGTGCCCCTGTTCATTGCAGGGGAGTTGGATTAGATGGCCTTTAAGGGTCCCTTCCCACTCAAATGATTTTATGATGTCCTCTCATTGAAAAAGCAGTCTGACCAAGCAGTGTGTCTTGGAGTTGTAATTATTTGCTCAAAATGAGCAGAACAGTGTACCTTTTTGGGGAGAAGTCTCCCATGCACCCTTCTGAAGTTTTGTTATAAGAGCTTGGACAAATGAAAAGTGGGTCATATTTTTTTTGTGGGTCATATCTCTATTGTCTTTGGAAGGCTCTGAGACCTTTCTCGAGGGCTTGTATTTGGGGGAAAGGATATACATAATAGTATCTGAGGTCCAGTGCTTATCCTTTGTCTTATGGTGGTTGTACTTTGTGATGCCAATGCTTTCTGGTGCAACATCTTTGAAAGCTGACTAATTTCTAGCAAAGAGTAATCATCCCCATGTGCTTGTCTCCCAAGTTGGTAAGAAATGAAATGTCATCAGAATCAGAAGAGACCCTAGATGTTTTTCCATTTGAGAGTTGCTATTATACAAGAGGAATGTGGGACTTCTGAATTAAAGAGGAAAAAAATCTGTTCTAGTTCATGCAAGCTTTTTTCATAATTGTGAGCATGAAGCAGAGAGGAGAAACTTTGCTTTTGCATTTGATATTGATGTAGTCACACCAGCATTACTTGCTCGCAGACTACAGAGAACTATAAACCTTTTGAAAATCAAAACTTTAAATTTAGTCTTAGCTAAATGAAAATTTTCATGGATACTTCTGAAGAATAAAAGGCAAGCTCTGAAGACTTTTCCTCTCTGTAGCACAACTATCAGTTCTTGCTGTCCAAAGTATTCTCTATCAGCACTTCAGTTAAGCCTTTGCGCATCTGCTGGCTCTAACATTTTTCTTTAGATTTCCCAGCATTTGCACAGCATAGATTCACCTCTGTCAGTGATAACAACAGTCAGAGGGTCTAACTGGGACTAGCTGCTGGCATTTTAATCTTGTTTAGAGCAAGCAACAGCGAAAATCCTGTCAATGCCCAGTCTGTGCTCATCCTCCCTGTGGTGAGGCTGTGCTTTTAGTAGAGCCGCAGAAATTTTGGGAAACTGCTAGTGTTGTGAAAGCCTGTTGGGAAGGTAGAGACCTCTGTTTAACAGGTGAAAGTGCTTACAGGAGAACACAGACATATATGAGGGAATAAGCAGACCCTGAAGTAGCCTGAACAGGGACAAAGGAGAAGCTCCTATTTATTCCTGCAGAGAATATGCCTGTGAATTTTCGACTTCAACACTTGTTTTTAGAGCTGAATAGATATTTAAATGAGATAATTTGACCCTGCAAATTTATAGAAGCATAAGCTTATTATTTGTCATCTTTCTTACTCAAAAAAAAAAAAAAAAAAAAAAAAAAGGCAATTTCCATGGAAATAAAAAGAAAAAAAGCCATCAGAACTCTTACTGAGGATACTTTACTAAGATTAGTGAAGACTGAAGCACACAATATAGTAAGAATAGATTTGCCTGAGTCTGCTCTCTTCTCAGTGGGGGCCTATTCTCTTCTTTGTCTCACTATGCCTACCCCCCATAAATGTTAATGGGAGCTATTCACAGGCAAAAAGAAGCCCAGAGACTCCAACATATGCAATTTCCATTCATGATAATAAGAAGGGAGGTTTGATTATCTCGGTGCCAGCCTTAGGGCTCTCTGAAAACTTGTGCAAATAAGCTGTGGGTATGGACACCCAAGTAAGTTTCTACAGAGGAAAAGCTGTGAATCTGCAGTGTTTCTGCAGCTCCATGGAAACATTTTTGCATGCACACTCTTACCCCATGGTAATTGTAATCTGTAGTATTTCATCCTTCTGTGAAAGAAGGGAAAGTATAAGACACATTCTGCATTAATCGTAGGTTTAAGACTATAGAGAAAGGAGACTGAGGTACTACAGAATTACAATTTAGTTTATCCTGAAAAAAGCTCCTTGGGTGTTCCTAAGCTGAGGAGAGGCCTGGGCAGACTTTAGTGAGCCACTGAGACTGAAGGAGGGTCTCTGGGAAGGGAATGATTAGGTGATGAGGTGGCCAATTCTGGGGAGGTGTGGGGTTTCAGCAGCTCGTGGATGTCAAAATCTGTGTCACAGACTGACTAGTAGCAGGAAAAGAAATGCACCAAGAGCGTGACACAAGATAGTAACTGATGTTAATGTTGCAAAAGTAGGGTCTCGGAGAACTGAGTTCAATTCATCTTTCCATGAGAGAGGAATTGGGACCATGGGTGCCATCTGAAAAGGATGCTGACAGAGAGAGATCACAGAGAGCATGAGGCTCTGGCAGCACATATGGCATGTGCCACTTGCTGGCCCTGAATACCAGTGTGTCTAAGCTGTTGATGGAAATTAATAAGAGTCAGCTGCAGGGATCAGAGGAGGTGAGATCCCTCTGCCTGTGTATGCAGAGTGCTCTGACACTGGATTTGTGGGGAAGAACTACACATTAAGCATGCCTCTTGTTAGGAGAGAAGATATCACAGTAGCTACAGCAGCAATTTGAGCAGCAGAAGACTGGGATATACTCCTAGCTCTGCCAAGGTTTTGCTCCATTACCTCAGGCAAGTTGCTGAAAACCGTCATTGATTTTGGGTCCCTGGGTCTTTGGATGCCTAGCTCAAATAATCTGGGGTCTGACTTTCTGAGGTGTTTATCTACTGCGGTTTTTATTGACCATGACTGATATCTAGGGCTTGTCACATTTGCTGGCTCACCTGAAGTATTCGGAGTCCTCTCTAAAATTTTTATCACTATCTTAGTGTCTGAGCTCTCAATACAAAATTAATTGTGATGGTGTTATCTACCAAACTCTGGTGTCCTGATTTAAAAACAAACAAACAAAAAACCATAATAAGGTTAAAATTTTGCATTGGGGATTCTGTAAGTGTAAAGTATTAATTTCTTGTTTACTGTGTTTGGATTTTTTTTTTTTTTTCACAAGAAAGGCAGCCTACATAAAAGCAGTATTTCATTTGGTGAAGCGTCTTGATGGTGTCCTGTTACACTTTATTAATAATGTTGCAAATGGCACTGGAGAGAAAAAAGGATGTCAAGCCAAATGTCATCAATAATAGCTGCAAGATTCCCAGTGTTAACAAATTATCAGCTGTATAAGTTTTTAATTAATACGAATATGAAGAGCAATTTGACTGTCAACAGGCATCAGTATTGATGTGTGAGAGTGAAGCATGGCAAGGTAAAGATCAAAAGGGGAGGATAAGCAAAACCACACAGCTGTGAATGACAAGTCAGCGTTTTCTGAACAAACTTCTGAGAGCATCACAACTTCAAGCATAGGCTCTGTAACAAGAAGAATGAGTCTAGTGAAGTAAAAACCTTTTCAAGGTGGAGATGAATTCACTTTGTTTGGATTGGTAGGGATTTTCCTGTATTTTAGCTGCGCTTGATAATTGTGACAATGAAAAGACACGTAAGAAGTTGGAGAGGAATATGGAGACAGAATAGTAGCACCTCAGGTTAGAGAAAATGATGGGGGCTGCTTATTAGTGAAAACCACAACAAGGGATCCAGAGAGCAGGTAGGATCTGGAGTGTATACTTACTGCTCCTTTCCATGAATTTTAAGATTTTCTAATAAGCTGCTGATGAAAAAGTAATCCTGTTCCTGAGGTCAAGACCTGATGTAAAGAATGCAGAATAATAGTATTGGTTTAAACGCAATCAGAACAGTTTAAACTTAGAAAAAAAAAATCAATAAAAATCTTAAACCTCCCTTTTCTGCCCAACCTGGCAGTTTCAAAGTTTTTTTTTTTTTTTTTTTTTTTTTTTTTTTTTTTTTTTTTTTTTTTTCTGTAGCATTCAATGTACCTTTGATTCAAGAGCTTAGAATTCTTATCTGAGTATTAGTCTTCAGCACTTTTTCCTCCCTCTACTATATTCTCACACTGTGAATTTACTGAAACAACTTTTGTCTTTGGTCATCCTAAGGAAAGATAGCTCTTTTTTCCTTTTTTTTTTTTAAAAGGAAAATGATCCACACATACAAATTTTTCAGCTTGGAAACTTTGGAAGGCTTATTTTTTTTGGTGGTGGGTTTTCTTGTTTGTTTCTTCCTGGAATGCATACTTGTCTCTATTAGCAATAGCTATTTATAAATCTATGAAAGATTTAACATTTAAGTTTATGATCAACATAAATGCACAAATTATAGATAAAAAATATTAATACTACAGGAACGCTTTCTGGCTTAGTTGATTATACCACTTTTTCTGTTATATCATTAATAATCTAAAGATTAAACCTTTTTTTCACTTTTCATTTGAGGAGATCAAAATGCTTTAAAGACATTAGCTAATTCTCCTGCTAATCCAGAGAGATTGGACAGTGTTATGATAATCTTTCACAGATGAATAAATGGAGATAAGGAGGAGGCGAGGCTAAGTGACTTTTCAAAGTCACAGATGTAATCAGTGGCAGAGCTGGAAATATAATCTTGGGGTTCTGATTGTGATTTTTCTTCCATAGTCATAGAAAACTATATATGTGTGTGTATGTGTGTATGTGTATATATATATATATATATGTATATTCGCACCATTAACAACTCATTCTTTAAAAACAAAACCATTA